GCTAGTCAAGTAGAGGCAAACAAGTGACACTCTGTTTGTCTATGTATTCACACATGTACTTAGTTTCCGGTTAATACAATTCTAGCATGAATAATAAACATTTATCATGATATAAGGAAATATAAATAACAACTTTATTATGGTCTCTAGGGCATATTTCCTTCTGAAGAGACAATTGAGCACCTCGGCATTTCTTGTCATTCAAATATAGTGGTCTCGGAATGCCTCACGGATTACTTTGGTACCAAGCTAAAGTGATCTTTCATGGTAATCTACTTTTTTGAAATGTTTATTACAACGATGTTGGGTCTTCGTAGACATGCCAACCATCTCGGGAGTGGCCAACATCTATCATGTTGCCCCAAAAATCAAGGTGGCCTAGACATCCATATATATTGGCGAAATATCATCATTCTCAATCAATGGTTTCTTCAAGCTTCCTAATGAGGTGAGTTAAGGCATGATATAGTATGTAATAAATAAATGGGATCTAAGGCAAGTCCATGGTAAATATGGGGGTACCACTTTTGGGTTGGTTCATTGACGAGGAGGCAACACCTTTTCTAGTTTGGAACCTTTGCTAGCAATAACAAATCACATGTTAGGATTTGTCATAGGCCATGGTTGGGAAATGTATCACCTTAGCTCCTACTACTTATGGCTTTTTCATACACTGCATCATAAACATGTCATAACAGCGGAGGTGGTGGGTAACTTGCACCCATTTGTGGTTCTGACATGACATGATTAGAATGATAGTTGTGGCTTCCGACATGACATGATCAGAACTTAGTAGCCTAGAATAGGATCTAATAGAGTGGCTATATGTTGTTAATTTATAACATGGGACATACAAATTTTGATGGACTTTACATGAAGATGGAAATTTCTCCATGAATTCATTATACCATGCGCTTGTGTGTACAGATGCACTTATTAACACTAAGGTGATCTAGAAGCTTAAGATATATTTTCCTTATGGCATTTACGCAGAAGGTTCATCTTAACAAGGGAAAATCTTGCAAAGAAAACCTGGTGTGGGGTACACAATGTAGTTTCATGATGAGACAAGTAATCACATATTCTTTGATTATAAGTACACATGGTGTATGGCCTATAATACATGTCGCACATAATTTGTATTCTACCCGGAGCATCCCAAACTTGTTTGGTAATTGGTTGTGCGGTATACATAAAAACATGATATCTTTTATCTTAGTAGCTGCGGCAGCCTTGGTTTGGGCGTTATGGTTATACAAGAATGATGTGGTTTTGACAAATAGAAGATATTTTCTTCACTGCCATAGTCATTTTCTTGTCTACACATTGGCTCCGTACTTGGCATGTACTACAGTGTTTGGATCACATGGAGCTCTTTAGGATGGCATGTACTAAGATGGAGAGGGTGATTAAGAAGACTCTTCCAAACATGGAAGGTGTTGTCTTCAAATCTGTCTTAGATTGCTTGCTATTGTTCTTCTTTTTGCGTCAAATAACATCACATGTTTTCATTTCCAAGAATATTATGGATTAGTACATGTTGTGTGCATGTAGTTCCTTCAAAATCAGAGTGGACGTCAAGGGCCAATAAAAAATTTCTTACCAGAAAATAGTATGCCTCACAAAAACACGTTGACAAAAGAGCAAGTGCAACTTATAAGTTATGACCAACTGAATAACGGAGATCAAACAGACATACCATGGAAGCGATCCCAAATAACAGTTTCAGTGAGAAATAAAAATGGCAGAAATGGACCATGGAAGAGATCCATAACAACATTTCAACTATTACAATGAAAGTGACTTGGCTCAAAGAGCACCAGTGAGATAGAATGTCTCAACTTATTAAGGCTGCCTTTCCTGCATCTTAGCTATGGAAAACTAAATCAAACTAGACAAGATGCACGTAGCTGGCCATGAATGTCATTTGAGCTGGCTAACAACATGTATCCACCTTATGGCCTCATCACAAATGGATATTCATACATCTACTGGTCTAACTCACCTTACCCACTCACCAGCGTCTTTATAATTTTGCAAATCCTACTAGCATATTGGCAAACCAATCATATTGTTTTTAATCTTATGTCAAAGAAATCTAGCCCTCATGTCCATCCTTGATTTTTCTACTTACCTTTAATTTAGAATTCAGTTTGTATGGCCCTATAACTTCATTTACCTACTATCATTCTTGGCATGCTCCTCTCGAAACATGTAAACCATTGCACTTACCTCCCCACAGTCTAGGTAGACCCATTTGAAATATGTAAAATATGGAAGAATTGTGTATTTAGTATTGAATGCAACGTAAAAGCACATACCTTCTTTTGTTCACATTATTTAGCCAATGTGACAACATATATATTAACCTTGTAAACTTATCACCTATAGCTCCAATCGTAACTCATCACTGGTATGTCACTTTATTTCCTTTTGTACCCATTCACTTTATATCCTTATAACTTGTATTTTGTCTCTCCATTTCCAGATCGTGCTCGGTCACAAACATTGAAGCATTCCTGCACCTCTTACAGTCTCCTTTACATGTCCATTTACATAAGCATTCCATAATAAGAGACACTGAGAAATATGAAATGTCAAAGGTAAATTGAATGGTAATTTGTGTCATTAATAGATATTTCCTACTTATGGTAGATTACTAAGGAAACACCTGAAAAATGGAAAGTGTCTCGATAGTTGTAAAGGGAAGATATTTTCATCTAGGGACGTTTGGTTCTTATCACCTCTATGAGTTCTAACATGGTTATTTACATGATGTCTTTCTTCCAAGTGCCAAAATTGAGTTGGAGTATTTGTGTGGCTACTTATTTCTAATAGGTTTAATAGATGAAATATGCTGAAGCGGAAACACTTCACTGTTGATATTGATTATTCTTGCATCCTATGTACTGCTATTGATGAAGAGACCATTGAGCACCTCATTTCAATTGCCCCTTTAGCATTTCTTGTTGGGCATGCATTCAAATCCAGTGGTCGCCGAATGCCTCGCGGATTGCTACCTACTTTTTGAAATTTTTATTACAATAATTTTGGTTCTCTCTGGGCGGGTCGACCCCCTTGGGAGCATTTGGTTCTATCACTGATGAAGAATAATACGTGCTTTTTAGTAGATGGTTGTTTAGGACTCTTACCGAGTATGAGTGATGGCATGATATCCTCGGTAATAAATATATGCACTATGAGGCTCTCTCCGAAGTCCAAAATAAATGGGGGGGCTTCCACTTTTGGGTTGGCAACACCTTTTCTGGTTCGAACCTTCACTATCAAAGGACGGCTCGCATGTTAGGTTTTGGCATGACTCATAGTTGGGCAATGCTCCACCTTAGCATCTACTAGTACCTAGGGCTTTTACTGTGTCATCAACATGTCATAATAGCAGAGGTGTTGGGTAGCTTTCTGCCAGATGTGGACTTCATACGTGACATGTTTAGGCCTTTGTTAGTAGCATGGAAGGATCTACTGGAGTGTATGAATGTTGTTAATTTATACTACCTCCGTCCCAAAATATAAGACATTTTTTCAGTTCAATTTTGAATTGCAAAAACGTCTTGTATTTTGGGATGGAGGTAGTAGCACGATACATACGAGTTTCGATGGACTTTACATCAAGATGGACTCTTCTCTATGAACTCATTGTACTAGCTCTTATAGATATTGGTGCACCAATTAACAATATGTTGATTTTTAAGATTAAGGTTCCTCCAAAGATTAATGTTTTTCCTATGGTATTTACATAGAGGGGTCATCTTAACGAGGGAAACTCTAGCAAAGAAAAAATGATAGGGGAGTAGCAATGTTGTTTCTACTATCATGATGAGAAAATTAAGCATATATTCTTTGAGCAAGTATGCTCATGTTCTATGGCTTATAATACATGTCATGCATAACTTGTATTCGCCCAAAGCCTTCCAAACTTTTTTGGTAATTGGCTTTGAGGTATACATAAAAAACAAGATCTTTTATCTTAGTAGGCATGCGGGCCCTGGTCTGGGCGCTATGATTATGCATGAACGATATGGTTTTGACAAATAGAAGATATTTTTCTCCATTGTCGGTTATTAACTTATGTACGCATTGGCTCCGTACTTGGCTCGTCCTACAATATCTGGAGCACTGGGAGCTTTTTATATATGGTGGCATGTATTAAGATGGAGCTGACGACTATGGAGATCGTTTCCAAACATGGACGATGTTCACTTTGGATCTGTCTTAGGTTGCTTTCAATTGTTCTTCTTTTTGTGTCAAACAATGTTATGTTTTTGTTTCCGCAATTATTTTGGCTTCGTATAGATTGTGTGCATCTAGATACGCCAAAATTGGAGTGGACTCTTCATACTTGGATCGCTCACGTGTTAAGAGTAAATAAAAACTTTATTATCAAAAAATAGTATACCTCATAAAAACATGTTGACAAAAGAACAGGTGCAACTTACGAGTTACGACCAACTGAACAACACAAATCAAACAAACGGACCATGGAAGAGATTCCATATAACAGTTTCAACGACTAAAATAAAAATGGCGACCATGGAAGAAATCCATAACAACAATTTCAAGTACTAAAATAAAAATGTCTAGGCTCAAAGAGCACCACCGAGAGAGACAGAATGTCTCAACTTATTAAGGTTGCCTTTCCTGCCTCTTAGCTATGCCAAGCTAAATCAAACTAGGCGAGACGCACGTAGCCGGCTATGCATTGCACGCTACAGGAAAAGACTTCTCTCCATCCTACCTTACATGGGAGGGAAAAGACTCCAAGATGATTCTTCAGGGTCGACGCCGCCCGATTGCCAACCAAACCCCACATCCAAGGACTTCATCCCACTAGAAGAGCCGGTGTTGGCGCTGGTACCGGGGCCGTCGTGCCAATTGGTGCTATAGCCGACGCTGGTGCTGGTGTCGGCGCCGTCATGCCCAGCGGTGTTATAGCCATTGTGGGCCAGGGCATCGAGGTTCCTTCCAGATCTCACCTTGTCGAGTCAACCCTCATGCTGTGGCGGCACCTGATACATCGTTGGAGACCCCACGTGCATGTTGTCGGTGACGTATGGAGTGGGCGACGGCTGCTGATTCATGGCGAAAGACCCCATGTCCATGTTGTTGGTGACGTATGGAGCTGGCTGGGACGCCAGATACATTGCCGAAGACCCGCCCATGTCCATGTTGTCGGGGATGTATGGTACCTGGGGCTGCAAGACAGGGGTTTGTCCGCTAATTTTAGCGATGCTTTGGCCCACGCTCTTGAGGATCTCCTCCAGCCTACTACTGACGATGGTGAGCTCATCGACTTTGAGATCGGGGAGGTCACTGCCGAGCATGGCCTTGTGTAGCAGGATCCTGATCTCGGGGTCTCGTACCTTGTTTTCCTCGACCTGGAGCTTGCTGAGGCGCTGGCTGAGGAAGTCTTCCTGGTTCACCGTCTTCTTAAACCTCCCATCTGCCATGGTTTTGTACCTATTCAGGATATCCACCGCCTCGGGATGCGATGGGTACACCTTTGGTGCCGCATTTCCCTCATCGTACACCAACACGCAGGCCTTGGCGTTGCATAGAATAGAAACCTCGCGTGCCTTACTTGCCAGGTTCTTCATGCGCGTATCCAAGGTACGGCGCCGGCTCGACTTATTCTTGATGTACTGGAGGGCAATCTTCTTGCGAGCCATTGCCAATAGAGGGATAAAATGAGAAATGGAAATTAGGTTGATGGTTTTGGCCAGCTGGGGAGGTTTGATTTATAGTGGAGGATCGACCAAGATGGGGAGGCTATATCGAGAAACTTTTAACTCCACGCTCACAAAATAAGGAGGTGCGCTATCTTCATAAATGCATCATCAAACCAGTATTTTCTTTCATTAAAAAGTGCTTATAATGGACCAAGGGAACACATATCCATAGCAAAGAACTTTGGTTTCTCTCAAGAGGCCCATGCATCTTATCCGAATATGCTTATTTTAGCTATGTATTGTCAAAATTAATTTTGCAATTTATTTTGTTCCAAAGTTAGATGGTTATTCAAAATTGTACATCATCCGATTAACCATCTACTATTAATTTGTTACCACATTAAGAAATAACAATAAATAACGTTCATAGATTATCCTATAATGTAGGACGAATTGAAAATACTAATGTTCTACCAATTTTTTCAAGAGCACTGCTCTGCACACGATGTATGCACGCACGATCCATAGACGACAAGTCAGGTAGACCATAGGATTAGCTGGGTTGTTTAATCTGTGTGGCTCCTAATCCGGTCGGCCACAAATCGTCCAGGAGCCAATCGTGTGCCGAGCACTTTCATTTTTCCAATACTTTAACTGAATACGGTCCCACATATCCAGGGCTGACTATAGTTGCTTATTTTATCCCTGACGCTGGTGAGCTAACACGTTCACACA